CCCGTCCACCTTCTGACGGTGTCTGCCTCCGCGCACAAAAAATGAGATGGGCATCGCTGCCTACGCCGACGGCCAGAGGCCCGCGCATCTACATTTTTTCGCCTGACCCCATCAGTGCCGACCCAACTACACCACCACGCGCATGCCTCGCGGCGGATATGCGCAGCAGCAAGAAGGTTTCGGTCATCCCTTGAGGGTGAGTCTAGCCCTGCTCGCCAGAAAGACCCCCCCCTTCACTACAACCCATGTCTAAGCAAAAGCTTGTCGAGGAGCGAGGGGAAGAAGGGAGAAGTACTGTAATGCCAGGATTTCAGGATTTCGCGTTATAGACTATGTAGCTTTTCGGTACTAGTACAGAGTCACTCCCTGGCATGCAGTAACTAAGTCTGTTTCGGGAACCTTCCAAGACCACAAGTGCATGGCCTACTCCTTCCGTTACCTCTATACTCCACAATCATCAACGCCTACATATCACGTGCTACCTTTCCGTTGTGCTCGGGGTTGTTCTCTCATCACACATCACGGAAGCACGGGGTTCGGGTTCTTCCCCGAACATGAACAAAAATTTCGGCCGAGACTAATTTGCGGAGAATCTTCTTGTGGCGAACAATGTTGTTGTTGTTGTTGTCTTCACATTAAACCGTATGTCAGTTGCTAAATGCCAAAATCTAGCAAAGACTCTCAGCCCGTGGTCACGAAAGCGCTAGAGCCATCTGAGGATCTACAGAACACGCACACATATAACGAGAAAAAGGAATCCAAGAGCCCAAAGAGGTACACCTAAAAATCCCTGCAGCACCGTATGCGTGCCCAAAAACTGAACTGCACGTCCGTCCCACCGTTCGACTACAGCAGTAGCATCACCCCCTCCCTGTCCCACTCTATACCAAAACGGAAGATTGCCGACTACAGCATACTGCTGTCTGAAGTGCTGTCTGTACAAAAACACCATGGTAGGCATGGAACAAGCAGCTGGCGGGGCACAAAGCTGCTGTCTGAAGTGCTGTCAGAATGTGTCTGCCTGCGGCCGTACAGTGAAAATGAACAACCAACCAAAGCCATCATAGCAGCAATTGACAATTACCCGAATCTCTCCCGATCGTCTGTGTTAGGCACTGCAGTGANAAATGTTTGTCCGTGCGCCACGGGTCGATGTCGCCCGCATGCTCCGGTGCCACTGCTCCATCCGGCGCCTCTGTAGTCAGCCCGAGCAAAATGCCGCTGGACCTGCTCCGTCCGTACACGTTAGTTATCGTTGCTGTCCTTCCCAGTCCGTTTCTCGCTTTCTCCCTCATTGCACTCAAGGTTCTTGGTCTGAAAAAAATAAAAATTCTCGCGCCGAATGGTCAACCAGCCCAGTTCAGCTCGTCGCCACCTGCTCCCTCCTCCTTTGATGGCGAAGCCAGGGTACTGAGGCAATACAGCTCCCTCTAGCAAACCTAGGGCCGTGTAGTGCCCGTCCGCCTTTCTGATGGTGTCTGCCTCCGCGCACAAAAATGAGATGGGCATCACTGCCTACGCCGACGGCCAGAAAGGCCCGCGCATCTACATTTTCCCGCCTGACCCCATCAGTGCCGACCCAACTCCACCACCACACGCACGCCTCGCGGCGGATGCGCAGCAGCAAGAAGGTTTCGGTCATCTCTTGAGGGTGAGTCTAGCCCTGCTCGCCAGAAAGCCCCCCCCTTCACTACAACCCATGTCTAAGCAAAAGCTTGTCGAGGAGCGACGGGAAGAAGGTCAATGAATAGTCTAATGGGAGATTTTTTTCCTGCACAGATATGATACATGGTACGGGCTCAACGTGGCGCTCGCGGATTACATAGTCACCGGTCGCCCCGGTGGTCTAGTGGGTAGCCTCGCAGCCTCCCCCCACGTTATCCCATGCAATAACCCCTGGTTGGTCGGAGGTTACACAACGCCCCTGTACAACTGTGCCCACTGGCCACTTGTGTAATATGAAGAAAAACAACAACCACAACAATGCCAGGTTTTCAGGATTTCGCGTTATAGCTTTTCGGTTGGCAAATATTAATAATTAGTACAGAGTCACTCGCTGGCATGCAGTAAGTAGTCTGTTTCGGGAATCTTTCAACACCAAAAGTGCATGGCCTACTCCTTCCGTTACCTCTATACTCCACAATCAATGCCTTCATATCACGTGCTACCTTTCCGTTGTGCTCGGGGTTGTTCTCTCATCACACATCATGACAGCACGGGGTTCGGGTTCTTCCCCGAACATGAACAAAAAATTCGGACGAGACTAATTTGCGGAGAATCTTCTTGTGGCGAACAATAGGAGATTATTTTTCTGCACATATATGATACATGGGTGCGGGCTCAACGTGTGGCGCTCGCGGATTACATAGTCACCGGTCGCCCCGGTGGTCTAGTGGGTAGCCTCGTAGCCTGCTGAGGGCCAGGTCATGGGTTCGAGTCCCGGCAGAGAGAGTTTTTTTCTAACTAAATAAATCCTGGTCTAGGATGAAAGCGACGCGCTGCAAAGCTCGTTTGTTAGAAACCAATCGACTTCGTAAGTCGCGAGGGAAGGGATTGCTGTACCCTTCTCGCGATGAAAATACCTCAGGCGTGAACCGCAGGATGGGGTCCACCCCCCCCCTGCTATATGACCCCGGTTGGGTCGTCTAGCTAGTAGAAGTGGAGGATAGGGGCCAGTGGGGCAGACGACAGAGTCCAATGATGAAAAAAAAAAAAAGTCTCTCCGCCAGATTTGCGAACCCCAGCACATACACCCCACTCCACACACACGCCAAGCAACCCACACGCCAACCAATACACAACCGGCGCAAAGGTGCGTGTCTTCTGGTTCCTTTTCATAGAGAGAGGTACGCTTAGCATCCATCGATGGTCAACGGTAGAGGTGTCGCTTCACACGCCCGCTCGCCGTTTCGAATCTCTTCCGTCTCGGCGTCTCTGGTCGCTGCATCCCTCCTCCTTCGTCGCGCCCGTTCTGTCCANAAAAAAAAAAAAGTCTCTCCGCCAGATTTGCGAACCCCAGCACATACACCCCACTCCACACACACGCCAAGCAACCCACACGCCAACCAATACACAACCGGCGCAAAGGTGCGTGTCTTCTGGTTCCTTTTCATGGAGAGAGGTACGCTTAGCATCCATCGATGGTCAACGGTAGAGGTGTCGCTTCACACGCCCGCTCGCCGTTTCGAATCTCTTCCGTCTCGGCGTCTCTCGTCGCTGCATCCCTCCTCCTTCGTCGCGCCCGTTCTGTCCAGTTCTACCCAGGTGACAGTTGAGCTTCCCCGAGCCGCGTTTCAACTTTTCGGAACCAGCCCTTCCCGCTAACATCTACGAGAGACTGCCAAGCAAGCCGCCACGCAGAGAACGTGAGTACATGCTGAAGTAGGATGTGTATAGACAAGCCGCGCGCGTAACGGCGCGCAGGTGGTTGCACACACGCTGGGCGCTGCCGCTGTGGGGACCCATAAACGGCCGAAACTTCGTCTCGCATATTATTGTGGCTCACAGGCGTTGGCGTAATGTTGCCAATACGGCTGCTTTTGAGCCGTCCTAATTGCACTGCTGTGTCAAAGATTGTAGCAGCTTCTGGTGGGGGGTTGCTGCAGATGGTAGGATCTTGGGTCAACCACGGCGCCGGTTATAGTGAAGCTACCGCAGCTATCTCTCAACATTGCTGCCGCAACCTGTGAGTCCCATCCGCGGGTGTTCCGTACATTTTTGTGAATCGCGGTCGGTCACAAGCAGTCTGGAGGGTATAAACTCTTCTGTGCTGTCTCGCTACGACAGCATGCAGTTTCGATCTCCGTACACCACAAGAGAGAAGATGTCGAATCGTACTGCTGTATGTAGGTCTCTCTCTATCTCTGGATGGGATGTTCCCGTTGTGGCATAGTAGCGGCAAACATTGCATGATCTTCGGGCTAATTCTAACTGAATCTAGTCTATGGTCTGAATCTGAATCATGGTCTGTACTCTGTTCTCTGTCATGGTACGCATTGCATACTGGTCGTGATTCAACGTGATGTGTTCATGCCGCACATCAGTGCGCACCTCAGGTACATCGCCACGCAGCAGCTCTTCTCGAATAAGACGAGCAAACCTGTGATATATCCTGGACCCTGGATCCATAATAATTCCAAGTGTTCCTGTGATCTGGCGTTGTGCACCAACAGTCTTATCGTCTAGACGGGGAAGGAAATGGACAAGAAAATAGGGACACGTATGTATGTGGACAAATGTACTCGGAGATTCGCATCGGAGACACTACATGTCGCCCCGGTGGTTTAGTGGGTAACCTCGTAGCCTTCTAAGGGCCAGGTCATGGGTTCGAGTCCCGGCAGGGAGAGTTCTTTTCTCACTAAATATATCCTGGTCTAGGATGAAAGCGACGCGTTGCAAAGCTCGTTGTCAGTAAACCATATTCGACTTCATAAGTCGCGAGGGGAGGGATTGCTGTACCCTTCTCGCGATAAAAATACATCAGGCAGGAACCGCAGGAGGGGGTCCAGCCCCCCTCTCGTATGTGACCCCGGTTGGGTCGTCTAGCTAGTAGAAGTGGAGGATAGGGGCCAGAGGGGCAGACGACAGAGTGCAATGATCGGAGAAAAGAACAAAAAAAAATGTGAGAGGGCCTGACCACTCAAATCTCATTCTTGATGCTTGGACAACATGACGAGGGCTCATGCACGGCATGAGCACTACAATACAAGTAATGCTTCTCAATTTTACCAGCCTTCGGGTACGTCGTCAGCCTACATACATACATACATACATACCGCGATGTACGAGGCTTCACAGCAGTTTCCCGGATTTTTTCCGACAAGTCCATGGGGTGCATTTCTTATCGGAACACTAGATTCTTGATTCGGCATGAACATTACGAACTCCAAGTTTGTCAGCTAGCAGCTCTAGCGCACATGGTTCGTTCCGCATCGCCCCCCTTACCTTTTATTGCCAAACATAACTCGATTCCATTTCCCGTTTTCACGCAACAGGTCGCCCCTTCTCCCTTTTTACGGCTGCCTCAACCTCTCACATCTTTCGCTCTCCCGCTTTCACTCTTAGAGCTCCTTCGGCCAGGATGAGGCCCTGTTCTACCATGACTCTTGTTGCCGCGGCCTCCGGAGCCTTCCTGGCGAGCGTGCCGGCTGTCGATGGCGTTAAGGCTATCTTCGATTTGCGAACCGGGGACGACTACGAGAGCGACAACAACTGCGGTAAGACGTGTGGTTCGGTAGGTTCTCGTCATCTTGCTTGTGCCGTAGGCCGGTGGGGTTGATCATGACCTTGTGTGCCCTCAATTTGTGCCGTGCTTAGCAGCGTTTCTCGTGGGCATTCATAACACTGCTGGAAAATGTGTCCCGGAATTCATGTTCTCCAATCTTCGCTCGCACCGCGTAATATGCTCGGAAGATGCTCGGCCGCTCCACCAAATAACACCCCCTCCCCGTCACGGCTCGCATCGCTCTCGTAGGCACGACTGCTCTCGCAAACCTCCACAAGTAACGTTTTTCCACAACGGCAGAGCCACAGCCGATTGCGGCATGTTTTTATGCTCCTTGTTGGGTCCGGATATGGCGTAATGTGCAGCACACAGATGAATTTGCTCTCGATGTTTTCCACACGCCCTTGATCCCCCAAAACACCGCGTGTCTTGTGCTTTCGTTCATTTGTTCATCGATAGCGGACTCCGAGGCTAGGAAGGTGCGCTATCTGCAGATCGAGGGGTTCGACTACAACTCGTCGCCTTGGATGCAAATGACGTGGAGGTATGCACGCTTCAGTGATGATCTGCGAAATGCGACCATATCTCAAACGCTTTCCCACGACGCTGGTCGTGCCGAGGCCAAACGACTATCTTCCGCGCTCGCAACCCGGGCATAGATCGGCAGCCAGATGTTGACGGTGTTGCAAAATGTTGTCCGTTTCCATTAGGCGCGGAGCGCCATCACAATGTGCCAGTCTCGCGTAACAACCTCCTCGACGCTGATAAAACAAACACCCCGATGGACTTGAGTTTTTTTTTCGAAGAACGAGCGTGTAAGGTTGTGGTTCTGTTTTTTTTCGAATGCACCTCACCAAAGCCAAGCGACGCCTTGCGTTTCGCGATTTTCATCCCCTCCGCGTCTCTTTTCGTCGCTGTGTGCCTCCCCCAACTAAAACACAGGCAATTGACCGATGAGTGCGGCAACGCCGTCACGGACGGTTTTTCCGAAACCGTAACTTACGACGGCGATTCCATCGAAGACGGAGACCGGTAATCGCGTATGCTATTCCCGTATGATTTGTAGGCGAGAGGAATGGCCCCTCGTACACTGCCTGCCAACATGCACTCAACATGCGTAGAAAGGTTAGCGTCCTTGCGGACACAATCTCCACTAATTGCTGTGCGACGACGGCAGAATTTTCGGTAACTGCTTCGAGCATGAATCCGTGCTGATGTCCGGTGGCTCTTGCGCTTGCGCTGTACAGCAACAGGCTGCCGGCCTGCAGCTGTCGAAGGTTGTACGTGCCCAACTCGCTTTGTACAGGCATTCCTCATCTTAAATCTCATATTTTCCTGTCGTTCGACTTTGCGTTTGTGGCGTAGGCTGCAGATGGACATGTACATCTGCGCCCCCTGGGGAAACTACGAGCTGGAACTCGTCTCCAAGAGCACCAACGGCGGTAACGCCATGGAGAAGATCGCGTGGGAGGTCGAGTACGGCCCTGACGAGGTGAGCACGGTGTGCAGGCTCACGTCTACGGCTGTCGCGATCGTGCGTGTCTTCGTTTCCCTGTACCACTGTAGAACGTTCCAGCATACCCCATGCCTCGTTCCTCGGCAACCCTCTCCTCCGCTATCCACAAGACTTACACTTCTCGCCATGTTCTCCCTTATGCATGGCAGTACCACATCTGGGACACCCTGAACACTCCCTTCTTCGACGACAGCCTGGACTACGCCCCTATCCCCTCCGGCAGCGGAGAGGAGGAAACATTCACCTTTCCTCTGGAGGGCTCCGAGGGGTACTACTCGGTCATGTACTCGGGACCGTTCCCTCCGCTGGAATGCAGCAACCTGCACCCCTCCGGCATCACGTACGAGGGGTGCTACAGCGCGGGGATATTCGGCACCGCCGACGGGCCCACAGGTATACTACTGTTTTCGTGCTTCGTGTTGTTGTTCGTTATTTGTGGTTGCGATTGCTGTTGTCCACGTCCAACCCGCCGAGAAAAAATATCTCTTGTGTGTGCTGATTGGCCGAGATGTTTGCATCAGGGTGTTGTCGTGAGCTTCGTACTCCGGCACGAGATCATGAATCCCCCACCGTACCCTTTTAAACCAACGCTTTCATCACTAGCGGAACCGAGTCATTACCTAACTTCTGCACGCGAACAGGTAGCGCCAACGATGCCGACCCGGCCGAGAACTACCGCATGTTCGACGGCATCGACGACGACGGGGTGAATGCTGACAAGGTCATGACGCTGGAGGTGAGGTTGTACGGATCCCAATGGAGCAAACGTCGAACCATTCTGTTGTATTCTTACGATACGTATTTTTTGCCGGATGATGGGTTGCTGCACGTTGAAGGGAGGAGACTACGCGGCTGGTGTTGCCTTCGAACTCATCCAGCTAGTTGGTTTCTACCCACGCCGAGAGGTTTGCCGACATGCGTGCACACGTCCAGCATTAGCCTCCCGTTCACATGCATCGGAAAATCAAATTTTCGTCGTCGAAGCGGTGACCGACCGTAGCGTGATGCCCCCTTCGCCTGAATAGTAACGGCTGCTGTCGTGTTGCAAGCGATCAAAACACGTCATGAATACATCCAGTAAATCGTCTGTCAATCTGGTGGTCTTGCCTTGTCACAGAAATGCGCGGCCACCTGCACAGCTCAAGGAACGCAGTACTTCGGTCTCGAGTCCGCGGTCAAGGTGAGAGGGCCCGAAACCAATGCTCGCATTGTTGGTCGTCATCCGTACCTTGATAGAACAGACCTTGGAGGGATACGTACGTACCAGGGCAGTTCTGGATTGCAGGCGGCTACGCATAGACGTACTTTGGAAACCTGTGCGTGTCTGTCTTGCAATTCGAACGGTAGCCAACATGTTGCCCCCCCCTCCCCCGGTGATATTGTTGGATATGAACTGTCCACGAGAAAAACGAGTCGCTTCGCCCCGGCCTTGGCCAACGTCCACACAAAACGTAGAGGCGCTGTATGATCATCGTGAGTGTCTCCCCGCCTTCTCCCGCCCCATTGATCCGCCATGACCATCCATGCCTCCCCTCCCTTTCTCCAGTGCCTGTGCGGCGACGAGCTGGTGGGCAGCCCTACCGACGATGTCTATGGCGACGGGGGCTCCGTGTGCGGCATCGACATCACGTTCGGCGGCGACGTCCCCGAGTACAAGTACCTGTGTTCCGGCGACTCCCGCGTGCTGTGCGGCACCGACGACCATATCTCGGTGTACTCCCTTGACGGCAGCACCGGTGGCGGCGACGACGACTCCGGCGACCCTCCCGTCGGCTCCGAGCTTATCGGATGCGTTGCCGACAGCCAAGACGATCGGGTGAGACAAGGAATAAGGGAATGGATTTACGTTTTGAGGATTGGTGGTTGGGGGCTGTAGGAGAGACAAATCTCCTCTTGATGCTGGCTTGTAGCCAGTGAAGAGGGATTGGGCGTCGTGCCGATGGGAAAGATGATGGAGCGGCGAGTGGGAAAGAAAACAATGGTAAATTTATAGTGTCACTCGCAACCACAAAAAAATGAAAGCGCAACCGAAAAAGAGAGTTGGTGAGGCACACGCTCAATAAGCAAGAGCCCAGCGTGCCATTATATGTTGGCAGAACCTCCTTCTTTACAGGAGGATCCTGGCTTGTCTCGTCTGTGAGGCCAGACGTTTGGAGGTGTTCCGTGTAAAAGTCGTAGCTGAGCACCCTTTCTTCCCCCCCTACGGGATGGTGTTATTTTTTTATCTTGTGTTGGAGCTTATGCAAATCCCGGAGTTAGGTGCCGACACGTTCCGCAGGACGGCTATGCCGAACTTCATGTTCGTCGAATCGCGACTGCGCTCCAAGTTAATCCCGCCGGGTCTCACACGTCACCGTTCTTCGACTCGCAGGTGATGTCTGAGGGACCGATGTCGGCCGCCACCATGTCCGCGGAGGTAAGTGATGCGGATCACGGGACGATGATTTCGTTGCCCATCCCCGCCCCGTTTGTGATTTGGAGGCATTTTCTGTAGACCTTGGGTGGCGTGCTTTGCGCTGGCCCTCAGGTAGAACAACGAGCTATTCACCATAGTCGTGTGTGGCTAGGATCCCGCACACAGGTCGGGTATGTAGGTCGCGAGCCTCGTGCATTTGAGTGGAATGTTCCGTGTTGTTGCACGTGCTGCGACCTCCGAGGTGAATGTGGTTGATCCGACGCTCCAGCTTATCCTTAGCAACGTGTCCTCCCCTATCTACTACGCAGCGGGATGCTGCGTTCATTGAGTCGTGTCTCCCTGCTCGTCCAACCCCTCGCCCCATTTGTCTTTCCTTGACAGATCTGCCTCGGGATTTGCTCTGAAATGGACTCGTCGTACACCCACTTCGGCACCCAGTACGGGGAAGAGGTGGGTAGCGGCGGCTATTGTATTTGTTGCGGCCCTTTGTACCGCTCTTGTTGATATGATGTCGTTGCCTTTGTTGGTGGTGCTGACCCTGGTGACTTGTCTTCCGGCCTCGCTCGATTCGACATCCGAAGCGAACAGACGACCCTGGCACTTGACCACCATGACCTATGTCCGATGTCGTCCGGGTAAGCGTGATTCAAGGGGCTCGACACGGCCCAGCTTTCGAAGCAGCGCCATACCTTTCCAGGTCAATTTTCTCGTTTCGCTCACCAAAGCCCTGCTCTTCTTCCCTCTTCGCATGTTGCCCTCCTCTTCCCCAAAATCACGTTTCGTCCAGTGCTGGTGCACAGGATCGCTCGGGACAACCGAGACCTCCACCGCCTGCACCTACCCCTGCGCTGGAAACGCTGGCGAAACCTGCGGCGGCTTCGACGCCCTCACTCTGTACGAAATCATCTCCGAAGCCCCTCCTACGCCGGCGCCATTGACTCCGCCGGGACCCATGCCCGCGCCGGCCAGTCCCGTGGTCCCCTCCGGCGACTACGACTTCGTCGACTGTGTTGCCGACAGCCAATCCTCTAGGGTGAGACAAAGAGGAGAGATCGATGGAGGTTGGAGGTTCCGCGGTTGGTAAGTCGGAGGACAAATAATCTCACCTCACGCTTGTAGTAGAGAACACGGATGAGCTACAGAAGGGAGTGGGGGGTATCTCGCCAATGTTGTTGATGGGGAGCGCGCGCGACAGCGAGAGAGGAAGAGACAGTAACAGAGAAACAGGGAAAATTAGGGTACACTACACGCCAGCAGTATTGAGCCTTGGTTCCTGTGGGAGAAACAAACAGCCACTGCATGTAGAAGAGTTGATCGGGTAGAGTTCTTGAGCACCTGTTGTTATAGGCAAGTTTTTCAGCGCTTCTACTTTGTGCTCGAAGTTCGTCACTTGCCGGCTTTCATTTGGCAGCGCGTCCTGCAACACATCTACAATGCCGCCCTCGACAGGGCTGGTGTTTATCGACATCGCACGCGCGTATTCATTCCTTCCGATTCTTACACGTCTTAATTTTCTCGAATGGCAGGTGATGCCTGTAGGACCGCTCGCGGAGGCCGTCATGTCTGCGGAGGTAGGTTTTGCGGATAGCGGAGACACCCTTCTTTTGCTGAGTTTCATGCGGTGATTTAGGTTTTGTTTTGACACTCTCGTAGCTTTCCAAAGGAGCCTACCATCTCGTACGGCTTAGATTGGGCAGGTGCTTTGCTCTTTCCTCGTTCCCGCGTAGATTTGTTGTGGCCCCCTGCTTCTCCTTGTCCCCCCCCCAAACATGGTTTTCCTTCCCAGATCTGCTTCGGGATTTGCTCTGCCCAAGACGACTCGTACACCCACTTCGGCACCCAGTACGGGGAAGAGGTGCGTGGCGTCGGTTTGAGATTGTCTTTGGCATTGGTGGTGCTGCTGGTTTTGTTGGCGTCGTCGCCTTGGGTGCTGCTCCTGGTGATTGTCTTCTGGCCTCTTTCTCGATTCGATTTTTTCAGAGGGAAGACGCCTCCGGCACTTTTTCGACCACCAGATCCCACGCTGCCATGCTGCCAGCTCCACATCGTGCGGTTAGCCGTGTAGCACGCGGTGCTTGACACGAACCAGCCTCTGACGAATGACCAAACGCAGTTTTTCCACCCAATTCGCGCATTTTCATTAACCGAAGTCCTCTCTTCTTCCCTCCNCCTCAGAGGGAAGACGTCTCCGGCACTTTTTCGACCACCAGATCCCATGCTGCCATGCTGCCAGCTCCACATCGTGCGGATAGCCGTGTAGCACGCGGTGCTTGACACGAACCAGCCTCTGACGAATGACCAAACGCCGTTTTTCCACCCAATTCGCGCATTTTCATTAACCGAAGTCCTCTCTTCTTCCCTCCTGCTATCGCACCTCCCACCCCCTTCCCACGTCTCGTCCTCAGTGCTGGTGCACAGGATCTCTCGGGACAACCGAGACCTCCACCGACTGCACCTACCCNCGAGACCTCCACCGCCTGCGTCTACCCCTGCGCTGGAAACCCTGAGGAGATCTGCGGCGGCTTTGACGCCCTTTCCGTGTACGAGATCGTCGCCGACATTCCTTCCCCTCCTACGACCGCGCCAACTCTCCCCGCCCCTCGTACGCCCGCGCCGGCCAGCATCGTCTCCGACGACTACGAGGTCATCGGCTGTGTGGCCGACAATCAAGCCGCCAGGGTGAGAATCGAAGTAGTTGTCGTCTTCGGTGTCCTTGGTGCGGCAATGTTGAAGTGTTACGACCTACTTGTGCCACCACCGGCTGTGGTGTCTAAAGTGGTGTTCCTGGCTGCTTAGCCTACACAACCTATGAGCGAGGTTTTATTCCGCGACACATGCGCACAATGGCGTGACGGGAGGTGAAGGCGGGCTACCGTAATTGTTTCACTCGGGTTTCGCATCCAAGTAAGAAGATTCTGGAACCCGCGGTCTTGTGTGGACGACCGCGTTGCCACTCAAGACCGATGTCATGCACACTGCACACGAGTGATCCGCGACGCCCGGGCCACCCTCTCGCCACTCTTGGTTTGTTGCTGACATGCCCTCAAGCTCGACCGACTTTGTTTGGTTCGAACTGCTCAGTCCAGTGTTGTCTTGTTTTTTCATTGTATATCCTCCCCCATTCCCCCCCGGTGTTTGCAATCGGGGTTGGGTTTTCTTCGCTTGGCAACGACGTTGCAAATCAAGCCAATTCACTTCGTACACTCGGCAACCAGCCGTTGTATGCCTCTGTAGTTTTTTTGGCGGTAACCATAATGGTGGTCGAGTAGATCATGTTGTGCGGGGTGGAGAACCCTCACTCCGCGCAAGGGGATGATCGCACCACGTTGTGTAAAAACGGTCAAGCACCCTTGAGGCAGGTTCACAGTGCTTACAACTGTCTCAGGAAGTGAGAGCACCAGACGCAGCTGTCATCCATGCACATGGAAGTAAGCACAAGATGCCGCACACCCTTACAAAGCAGGATGCAGCGCACGCTCCATGCGTCCCGCCGATTGTCTCACGACGCTTCGCGCTAGATGATATGAGAGCCTGGTCCGGTGACAACCCGGCGTGCTCCGTCCCGGCTTTGTGGGGATGCGAGGTCAATGGTCTAACGAC